GGCGTCTGTTTACGAATTCCAATTGGCGAGTACTTTTCAAATCTTGCTGTATTTTATAATATTAATATATCATTTATCAATAAATGAAAATAGTACACTTCCACAAGAAGTTTTTTTGCGTGTCTGTCTTTAAAAAAATTTAATAATAATAGCTCCCGTATATAGCGTTTAACGCCTTGGGAGTAGCAAGGTACAGGTTGCTATACTAGAGCCGTTCGGTATACAAGGAACGTAATGTGGCTAGCACTACGCTTCAACCGCCTATTATTACCTCAGGATTGTGAATCCCAAGTACTCATTTAAGGGTGAGTCGACCTAGGTACCCAAACTATTTTTATTTTAATAAAAATAGTCGGCTGATGAAATGCCGGGTGTGAGAATCGAACCCACACCTTGAGATTGGTAGACGAGAGCCTGTACCTCTAGGCCACCGGGCACCCGTGCAAAAAAATTCTAGAATAAAAAACAGAAACGTGTTTTCATGTAACTGGCTTCAGCTAATCTAAGGTTGAAAAACTGAAAATTATGCATTCCTGCAGAAAAAATTTCGTGACTTACTATTTGGAACGGTTTCTAAGTGCTAAATAAACAAATATTTGAGGACCAAGCGAAGTTTATTTAATGAAGCTGATGTCGCTTTTTTATCTCTAACCCTCCTGCCAAGTATTTCCCAACCGTGTTCTATAGGGTTCAGATATATCGAAGATGCTGGGCAGCTCACAATTTACAATAGTATATACAATAATCACCAAAGCCACCTCGTCATATTGAAAAAAAAACATCAAAAAGAAATGATAAATTAAAAAAATTGCAAATTGTTGGTGGCAAGTTTATTACACTCTTAAAAATTAACCAAGGCAATGATTGACATGATCCAAAAAACAAAATGTTGAGGAGACATGGTTCTGACCGAAAACTAATGTTTTAGGAAAATTTTCTGACGAACTAATTCCACAGGGTGTTTTAAAGTTATGATAAAAAACAACCCTTCGATTAACCCTGTATAATAAGCCAAATACTAAAATGTATAAAAAGTTTTTCGTTGCATTTTTTTTCATCTAAGTGTAATATTTTCAGGATATGAATCGTAGGGGGAATTAACTTTTAAGTAAGATAATATGTGCTGCTTAAGCATATACGTACGGATAATGTCTAAAAATATATAAGTATATACAGGGTGAGTTTCCTACGATGTTCTCTATGGGTATCTCGGAAACTACTGGAGATAGAGAGTCGGTGAAATGGGGAAAGAATTGCAGTTTTGTGGGGTCACAAATATGTGCCTTTCAGATTTTTGAAAAAGTTCATTCATGGCTTACTAGATATTTCGAAAAAAACAAATTTCGGCTATTTTAAAAATTGTCTCTAATTCCATTATAAACTATTTTAGACAAAAAGTTTTCAGATAAAAGTTGTAGATAATCACATCCTTAATGAGACCGTGTCCTCCGTTTTTTTCTAAAGCCCGTTATTTTTTATATATGACACAAACATATGTTTTTTTTTTAAATGGAAACCATAGTTGGCCATGACTTCATAAAAAGCGCCATTTTTTAAGCTTTTTAGCGATATAAGCTATAATATGTTTTTTTCGAAAAATTACTGAGTTATAGCCAATTCTTATCATTCTTGACTAATTTCACTTAGTTAGCCATGGAAACAAGTTCAATCGTCGTTGCTCTCGAGTGGCGGTACTAGAGAAGTTTAATTAAGTCGACCGGTCCTTTTATGAGAATAGGTAGTAATTCAGTTTTAAAAAGATACAACTCAAAACAATGGCGGAACATTTTCTAAAATAACTTAAAGTGTATGCAGTGGTATTATTTTTTTAAGTTTTAGTTTGTTCAATGTAAATTGTAAGGAACCGTTTAGTAATATATTGTGACTTTTTATAAGTTATAAATCATAACAGAATAAGAATACCATGCAATCTAATTGAAATTAGTCAAAAAAGATAAGAATTGGCTATAACTAAATTTAACTTTCCTAACATGTCTTGAAAACCGTTCTCTAAAAAACGTAACATTCACCGGTCAACGTATCCTCGAAAATGTATGGCCAAGAAAAGTTGAACCAATAATCCTACACGCTTTTCTTCATTTGAAAAATTCATATTTACAATTTTTGCTTATTTTAATTTACGAAGTTTGGATGTGACAGCTTCACATTTCTGAGAGCAAAGGTGATTAAACTTGTTTCCATTGCTAACTAGTGAAATTGTTTAAAAATGATAAGAATTGCATATAACTCAGTAATTTTTCGAAGAAAACATATTATAGCTTATATCGCTGAAAAGCTTAAAAAATGGCGCTTTTTATGAAGTCATGGCCAACTATGGTTTCCATTTAAAAAAACAGATGTTTGTGTCATATGTCAAAAATGACAGGCTTTAGAAGAAAACGGAGGGCACATTCTCATAAAGGATATGATTATCTACAACTTTTATCTGAAATTTTTTTGTCTAAAATAGCTTATAATAGAATTAGGAACAATTTTTAAAATAGCCGAAATTTGTTTTTTTCGAAATATCTAGTAAGCCATGAACTTTTTCAAGAATCTGAAAAGCGCATATTTATGACCCCACAAAACTGCAATTCTTTCCCCATTTAACCGACTCTCTATCTCCAGTAGTTTCCGAGATACCCAACATCATAGGAAACTCACCTTGTATAAATCTTTATCGTATACATAATAGTGTCAATCCCCTCATCTTCTACATCTACAGCCTACAAATGGACGTTTTTTCTTTGACCAATAAGACTTTCTGATTAATATTTCTGTCGCCTCATCAAAGTCGAAAACAGATGCCGTTATCCACGTCCTGCTTCTTCTTCCTGCTTTTCTCGTGCTTAAATTTTATCAGCTGCGCCGCTTCACACACTGAATAGTGAGCAGGAATAGAAGAATGGAACCAGAGAAGTTACCGAATGTCTACCGAAGGAGTACTGTTAACGTGCTAGCACGAGTCATTTGACCTAATGGATTGTTTGGTGTCAAGTCTGGTCAGGGCGTGGTATAATAAGAAATCGTTGATGGCGATATGGTTTATGAAAACTTTCATATTATCTATTTAAAACTATGATAAAAATTCAATTCCCTCGTTATACGAGGTGTATTACTCAGTTCGCTTATATGCGTTTACTTTTTTGAAACCAGTGACTTGGTGTCAAAGATCAAATTAAAGAAATTGCTGATTTAGAAAAGTCATCGCCTGCAATGGAGAAGAATATTATAATGTGTATCAGGAAGATGTAAATGACTTACCTACTTGAATTACATACTGTTGCACTCACTGAAGAAGGGCTTAAAGAACAGTAGCATAAGAATGAAATTAAAGAAAGAAATGAAGATGTAGTGCTGGGCAATACAGAAATTAACTCTACATAAAATATCTTACCATAGTACATGATCTATGAAAATTGAAGAAAGAAGTTTGAAAATTAAACAAGAGGACTTAGTAGAGGAAATGAGTGTAATTCGGAATACTGTTGGTAATTTGTTATACTCACTATGCGTGGCGCTATCTGGTTAAATATGGTATGAACTACTAGTTCAGCCTGTCACAACCAAACAAATTTTGTAGTTAGTTAAATTTATAGTACACCGTAGAAATATGTGAAGAATTAATTGTGACGTGACAAAACATTATTAGTGGAAATTAAATTGGCAATCATTGCCTTAATTTTTGATTTAAGTTAACTGTAAGTAAGTGTTGGTCTATATTTTAATTTGTTAAATGTATTTTTTGATATGTCAAAACATAATACTAGGGCTGGCATTTCTGGTCTTGGGTGCCGATTTTCGTGTGAACGAAGAGTACGGTCAACACGCTTAACAAAGTAAGATGTACTGAATAAAGACAGAATGCAAATATTTTCCTAAGCGGATGGAATCTAGCGTCAGATTAAGTAGTTATGTAATAAATACTTCGTATTTTTGCTCTCTCCGACTTACTAGATTGCCATAGCGATTCACTCCTATACGTATGTAAGCGCCGACCCAAGGTTTCGCTTGCCAGCAAGGTATATTTTGTTACGGATTATGGCGTAAGTCTTCATGTTGCTAATTTGGAATACTATAACTGATGCAAATTTGGAATAGTCCAAATTATATTCATCTTCTGATTTTCGTTTCTATGAATGTATGTAAATTTCTTCGCCAGCCACTGTAGCTCAACCTGCTTGATGGAGTTTAACATATAAGGTGTCGATAGATTTGTCTTAGTTTGGTCTAATTATAGGAGAGATATGGGGTATAAGGGGTAGTGGTGCGCAACTTAAAGCCTACTCTGCTCAATTGTCAACCTCACCTTCTCGCGGTATACCCTGTTTTAACAGACGAGGCTCTGACGACCGTGTCGGGGCGGTATAACCCTAGTATGCCGTGATTCCGTCCAACAGAGTCACGAAGTGAGTCGCAGGAAATGGCATCTCAAGCGGCTTTGTCAAGAGGACCAAAAGGCCAGTCGTCGCGGCCAGTCTGTGCCATTGGAACCAACTTTCTGTCCTCTGCCGCAACCAAGCGGCGGTGTAACCGTCTTGGTTTTCTAATTATATTACACAGCCGAACATCTCCAATCAAAGTCAAGATGAATCCTTTGCGCTAGACAAAATATTCCGGAGGTAAAATACCTTCCCGATCGGATCTCCGGGGGAAGATGCTTGCGCAGGAGAATTATCGATAAAGAAGTACAAAAGACGCACATTGTTTACCTTTGCAGCGTGGAACGTTAGAGTCTTTGTGACTCTCGCCAATCGAAACATCCTGAAAGAAGAACTGCCATTGTCTCCATAGAGCTGTATCGACTCAATGTGGATATTGCGGCCATTTCGGAAACAAGACTACCTGGGGAAGGATGTCTTGTTGAGAACGAATATACATTCTATTGGAAAGGGTACCCAGAAGATCAGAATAAAAAACTGCACGGAGTTGGCTTTGCAATCAAAAATAATTTAGCTACCAAATTGCAACAGGCGCCGCAAGCAATCTCTGAAAGGCTTATGACTCTACGATATCCAATTGGGCACAATAAATTTGTTACGGTAATTAGCGTTTATGCTCCAACTCTAAAGGCTGATCCAGAAATCACTGATGCTTTTTACCAATCTTTAGAGGAAGTTTTAAATAAAACACCTATACAGGATCGATTGATCCTGATGGGCGATTTTAACGCCCGAGTAGGTCGTGAACATAACATCTGGGAGAAAGTAATCGGGAAACATGGAATAGGCAATATGAACGCTAATGGAGAGCTTTTACTAACCAAGTGTTCTGAGCATGGCCTTACGATAACAAACACCTTATTTATGCACAATGACAAATTTAAAGGCACTTGGCAACATCCTAGATCTAAGCACTGGCATCAACTTGACCACGTCATCGTGAGGCAAAGAGACCTTAAAGAAGTCCTCGATACTAAGGCCCGAGTGGACGTAGAGTGCTGGACAGACCACAGAATACTTATATCGAAAATGGTGATAACTGTCCGACCTAAATACTCGTGCATAAAAAAACCCTCTAAAAGGAAAGTTATAAACACTGCCAAATTGGCAGATCCAAACATAAGATCAGAGCTAGGCCTCAGGATCTCCGAAACTCTTACAAGAGCTACAGACACAGATAGCGATGACCCTGAACATATTTGGATAAACATTCGGGACGCCATACAATCTGAATGTGAAAAGACTCTAGGGGAAACAGTAAGATGCAATAAGGACTGGTTCAGGGATAAAGCTGAGGAAATAGAATCCGCCCTTGAGCTCAAAAGAAAAGCACACACCGGCCTCGTGAATAACCCCGAGTGCAGACAAGCCCAGAAGCATTTTACAACTGCTAAACACGAAGCTCAAAAAACAATCAGGGCAGCCAAAAATTCTTGGTGGAAAAGTAAAGCTAATGAAATTCAGACTTACGCTGACAACAACGATAGTCGGCGTTTTTTCCAAGCTCTGAGGGAATTATACGGCCCTGTAAATCGCTCTTCTTTAATACGGGACGTAAATGGCGAACTACTGAAAGATGAAACTGAAATTCGTCACAGGTGGAAGGAACACTTTTCGCTAGTCCTGAATCAAAACTCAAATATTGACCAGGAAGTTTATGACTTGTTGCCTCAATACGACACTGCAAACTTCTTATCCATCCCACTTGCACGAGAAGAAATCGCTGATGCAATCGCATCTTTAAAAAACAACAAAGCACCCGGAAAGGACTCAATTCCTGCTGAAATTTACAAGGCACTGACACCGGAATTAATGCCCCATCTTGAAAATCTGTTTACCGTTATCTGGGAGCAAGAATCAGTACCCCAGGATTTTAGGGACTCAATAATCATTAGCCTCTATAAAAATAAGGGAGACAAAACCTAATGCGGAAATTACAGAGGAATCTCTCTACTGGCTGTTGCAGGAAAAATCCTAGCAAAAATAATAATAAATAGAATGATGCCCTATGTAGACAAACTGATACCTGACTTTCAGAGTGGCTTTCGACCGAGAAGATCTACTGTAAATATGGTCTTCTGCCTTCGTCAGATTCAAGAGAAAGCTATCGAACAACAGCAAAACGTACATTTTGCTTTTATCGACATAACTAAGGCATTCGATACGGTCAATAGGGATGCACTCTGGTCAATTATGTCAAAATTTGGCATACCGCAAAAGATGGTTAACCTTTGTAAAAGTCTGCATGTAAACAACAGAGCCGAGGTATCATTCAATGGTACCCTAACAGACCAATTTGAAACAAACAGCGGTGTAAGACAGGGTTGTGTCCTGGCACCTGTACTTTTCAATATCTTTATAACAGCCCTAATGATGATAGTAGACAGAAAGTTACAGGAAAGAGGTCTGGCTGTCCGATATCGAACAGATGGAAAAAAGAGGCCTATTTAATTTATCACGTCTTAAGGCGAAAACCAAAACACGAGTTAGGTACGTCACAGAATTAATGTATGCAGACGATTGTGCACTAATAGCTAATGACCCTGAAACTCTACAACAAATACTGGACATGTATATATGGGCGTATGAGGCAATGGGACTACAAATAAACATTAAGAAAACCAAAATAATGTCAACACTTTCTGGTGAGCTACCGCAAACCGAATTGCTCGTGTCGGGCAGAAGGCTTGAGGAGGTTGATTGCTTTTGCTATTTGGGTAGTATGCTTAACAACAAGGGAAACATAGACGCTGAAATACGAAACAGAATAAGTGCTGCCACCAAGGCTTATTTTAAACTACGCAGGAGGGTCTTTGGAAACAATAATCTCTCCCTCGATGTGAAACTTAGTGTGTACCGTGCAGTTATTATTCCAACTTTAATTTACGGAAGTGAAACGTGGGTCCCATATAAGAAGCATATAAAGAGTTTAGAGCGGTTACAACAAAGACACCTAAGGCAAATAATGAAGATAAAATGGTATCACAGGACTTCCAACGAAGTGGTACATTGCAGAGCAAAATGTGTTCCTATTGAAATTCTAGTTGGTAGAGCTCGCCTACGATGGATTGGTCACCTGTCGAGGCTGGATGATGGCAGACTAGAAAAAAACATTCTCTATGGCGAACTAGCGCAAGGTAGCAGAAAACACGGCGGTCAAAAACTACGCTATAAAGATGTACTACATGAAAGTCTAAAAAGCGTCAATAGTAATAACAACTGGGAAAATATCAGTCTTGACCGTCCAAAATGGAGACAAGTAGTACACAAGTATGAGGGCCCTCGCCCTCGTAATAGATATCATCCAGTCCCTGGGCACTTTCCATGTCCAGAGTGCAGCCGCATAATAACCTCCAGAATAGGACTCCACAGCCATCGGAGGGTACACTCACGGCGCAATTAGTTGTTCTATTGAAATTCGGACACGAGTCACCGGCAATATATATATAATATATAGGAGAGATATAGGGTAACATCAGCAAAAATAAGAAGACACGAACAAATAGTGAATCTAATGCAAGCTGAATTATTTCGACCAGATTGCTCCAGAATTTGATTTAAATAGAGAACCAGAAGAGACTGTAGTTTTGTTAGGGTGCTTGTTATTACCGATTCTGAGCCGTCCAAGAACTCTGCAGCGCATGCCCGCAATTGAAATAATAAATAATATTTTCTTCTGACCATGCGTATCATAGTTCTAAGTAATCTTCATAGTAAGCTATTATGTTTTTTTCAGCAAGGAACTATAAACAATCGTAAAAGTTAACTTTTATCCAGCCTCATCGTACTGCGCATGAGCAAATATATATTTCTTATTTTATTTTATTTGACTGTATGAACGCACACAAATAAGAATTCCTTATTTCTTATTTTATTTTATTCTTATTTTATTTTATTTGGCTGTATGAACCCACCATAAGTCGGAGTGGGCAAAAATACGAAATATTTATTAAATAACTACTTAATCTGACGCTAGATTCCATGCGCTTGGGAAAATACTCGTCTTCTGTCTTTATGCAGTACATCTTATTTTACTAAGCGTGTTGGCCGTACTCTTCGTACACATGAAATCCGGCACCCAAGACTAGAAATGCCGACCCTTAGTATGTGTGCGACTACTTTAAATATTCTGCCTAATTTTTTCTTTTAGTAAATTATTTCGATACTTTTTTACCGTTTTAATATAAACAACATATCTGCTATTATTTTGGTGGTATTCCAAATTACCTGCATGTTACGTCAACAGAGATTTTTGCACTTTTGCACTTTTTTTTAATGAATGAAAAAATCCATTTAAATTACTTTAAATACTTTGAATCTTTCGTATGGCTTACAACATAAATATGTAGATCTAAGGCAGGTTATTTATTTTATTCAAAATAATCAACATTTAAATTTTTTTAAATTTTTTTATGGTAACTATCATTCCAAAATACCCTCACTTCCTCTAGTATTGACGTTATACATTTTTTATATGTTTACATACTTTATTTATGATCATAAATACATATTTTTACAAATGTTACATATACCGTATGATCGAAAAAAAGCGGCATCAGCGATGGCTTTGAAATGAAGATCGCTGTCATTTTATATGTAAATTTCAATGGAAAATGTCATCAATCGCCATTTCCCAGCCAACTGGACACTGTTTTTTTATCATACGGTACTATAGTATAGGTCGCTGATATGTATAAAGACAAACGGTCGATTATTGAGTAAAATATACCAGGTACTGCAAAAAGTTAAATACAAAATTTATAGTACCTATATATACTTATTATGAATGTACCATTTCCGAGTTAACGAGTTTTCGTTTTGAAATGTTAAACAAAAATTATGTAATTTCAGACTTGATTTAATCCCCCCCCCCTCATATGAATCTCATTTTATACACCTATACAGCTTAACTTGACAGCTAATGCCAAATAATATTGAGAATGAGTCTTTCCGCAAAATGGCATCTCTAAATGAAACCGAACGCATCGAAATTTTAATGATGAGAGGTTATAATAATAAAACGCGAAGCTTTAGGAATATAGAATATAGAAAAAAATAGACCCCATATTCCCCATAATGTCAAAGAGTTGCTAGAATGCATCAAATTCATAATATTTCGCAAAATGCTCTTGCAAATACACTACAAGATTTTGTTCTTGTAGTGTATAGATTGTTTGTTCTTGATTGTCAAGAGGTTTATGGAGAACATTTTGAGCGCTCTATAAAATAAGATAGTAAACTAATTTCAAATACATAAGATTTTAAAAGATTTTTTTTCTTCTTTATATTCTTGGCTTTAGGTTGCTGGGATTTTAAGACAAAAATAAAAAAGAAAAAAATATATAGTATACCAGGTCAAAGAAACTAAACCAAAAAAGTATAAAGATTTTAAAAACTACACCTGGAAATTGTTAAAGTGATATTTCCAAAACTCAATTACTCGAAAACCCGACCCTGTATATTTAAATTTATTATTAGCTTATAGACATTTAAAAACCCTAAAACTTTTGTATTTAACTTTTTGCAGTACCTCGTATATTTTACTCAATAATCGACCGTTTCCATACATTCAGCCGACCAGTTAATTTGTGCCCTTACTATATTCACATACATACTTGTAGAAATATTCTTCATAATACATTTACTATACCGGGTGCGTCTCAAAAGTTGTTCACCCTTATAACTTTTTTATTTTTTCAGTTAAAAAACTAGATTTGGTATGATAGTATATGACATAAATTAGGATTGACTGACGTATTCAATTGTTTTCGGTCACTTTCTGTTCACCGGAAATGACTACAACTTTTGATTTTTAAATGGCACCTTCGGTATTTTTTTACTTTATTCCATAAAAAACCCATCTGAATTGAATGACATATCATATTTATGATATTTTATATATGGCAATAGCTTATATTATATGACAATTATTTGAACTTTTGACATTTTCTCATATGGAATATAATAATATTATTTGAAATTACAACTTGCGGAATTTTGCTCGAAATACCAAGTGTGTGGTTGTGGTATCAAATTATTCGTAAAAAATGCTTTTTCCAAATATGCTAATGAGCCACACTCATTCTATTTGAAAAAATTGAGATATAATTAAAAATACGATTTGAGTATTTTCTAACTGGCTAGGATAAGATACTAAAAACATTAGACAATCAAATATATTTTTCCAAGGCTCCTTGATTAAGAATTAGTGTTTTTAGCATAGCCAGATCTTTTTAACATAGGCACTCTAGATTGAATTTTAAAATACGATTTTTTATTAAAGGAGAGTGTCAAAAGTTATCTGTCATTCTATTCAGAATGTCATTTTCTATCGAATAAAGTAAAAAATACCGAGGGTGCTATTTAAAAACAGGAAGTGACCAAAAACAATTGAATACGTCAATCAATCCTAATTTATGTTATATACTAACATACCAAATTTCGTTTTTTTATCTGAAAAAATAAGAAAGTTATAGGGGTGAGCCACTTTTGACAAGTGAGTCTTAAATAAATGCAAAAATTTTTTTTGAGAGCTGATATCTTTCGATAAAAGAAATTTTAATATGTTTTCTTTGTCGTATTTTAAATAAGTTCAAAAGAGACAAGTTATTTACTTTAAATATTTAAAAAAATGCCGAAATTTTGGAAACCACTTTATTTCCGATTTTTCCCTTTACTAAATTTAATATACTACCTGTTTTTTAAATAAAAATTTAAAATTTTTCCAAAAATACAAAATTTTATTTTTTTTGTGATGTTTTCATGAACGCATTCACCCCGTAAATCGAGAAACTCATGTAGTCACTTTTTGACTCAAAATATTAAGTTTAATTCAACTGCCAATCTTTATCCGTTTTCAAAAAGAAATTAGAACATTGTCCTGACTGATATGAAACGGAATGTTCTCAGCCGGTATCGACTGTAAC